ATAAACATACATGTGCATGTGTCTTTATAGCAGCATGATTTAGAATCCTTTGGGTATATACCCAGAAATGGGATGGCTGGGTCATATGGTACTTCTAGTTCTAGGTCCTTGAGGAATCGCCATACTGTTTTCCAGAATGGTTGAACTAGTTTACAATCCCACCAACAGTGTAAAAGTGTTCCTATTTCTCCACATCCTCTCCAGCACCTGTTGTTTCCTGACTTTTTGATGATTGCCATTCTAACTGGTGTGAGATGGTATCTTATCATTAGTAACCTAAAACTTTAGTGAAACCCTAAAAAGCAATAAATCCTGAAGTATTAGATATGAGCATTTATATATAAGAACAATTTTACAATTTTAGAAGCATTGTTCCTCATGTCAGAGCCCTTTCTTAATTGGAAATTATCCAGATAATAAATGAGCATCAAAAATAATTTTAAGATTTTGATTTACAGAAAAAGCTTACCTAAAACTTTTATCCCATTCACCATACTCAATTATTTTAATTTTAACAGTTTATCTAGATTATTTCTGTAAACTGAGATGTTAGACACTATCATTTAAAGTTACTTTCTTGTTAACCATGTTATGAATAGCCAATGAACATCAGATGCTCACCTAAACCTAACTAAGAGCCTCAAAGTTAAATTCATAGGCATTTTTGCCAATAACTCAGAAGATTTAGCTAAAAACATTAAATTACTCTCCTTTGTCCAAAAAAAAAAAAAAAAAATGAAGGCATGCAAACCAAGAACATTTTGTTTTGGCTAGATTTATAGTTTTATAAACTTTTATGCTAAACCCTAACACCTCAAAATATCTGGCAAAGACCAATATAAAATACAGAAAAAAATTTATGCTGTCATTTCTGAAGGCATTTCTATTTTAATTTAACCAATAATGATCAATAATTTTAAAACCAGTTCATTTAGTAAAGTTATACTTAAGTCACATGAACCTGAAAATTGCTTGGACTTATTTAATCTATGAGCTCTTTTTTACTTATAAGCCAATTTGGTAGACACAATATATAACAATAAGTATACACACAAATAAACACATCTAGACATGTATACGCACACACAAATGAAGATCTAATAGCTTTTACCTTGTAACTCTAGCCATGAGATAGTCAGACAAACTCACTGCTTTTACTTTGCTTGCCCCAATAGATAATCCAATAAAGGCTGTGAACCAAAGTTTTGGGTAAAGCAGTCTTCACGGCAGTTTCAATTTTAAAGGCCAAACCTCCTCAGACTCTAAAGAACACGGGGGCCAATCCTTTGCTTAGAAGAGCAGCACAAAAGCCTGGATACATGCAACTTCATCCCACTTTTCCACTCAACAGCAAACTCCAGATTCCAAACAATATTGGTGCCAAACAGCATCACCAAAGTTGCCATTGTGATCTGTGAGAGAAAATTTTAGAAAGGGCTTAGTACTGGACCTCAGAACCTCTACCTAGGGCATCCCCTTTGGAGAGGTGAAGGTCTGGAGTTGGATCCCCCGTGGGCATCCCCTTTTGGGGTCCAGTCTTAAAGTGTCAGAAATCTCTGACCTTATGTGGGCACCGGTACCACTTTTTTTGTTTTCCCTTCAGAGGCAATTACTTTCTATGAGCTTTCCTTTGGTTCCTGGGTATAATCTCTGACTTTTAGCATCCTTATACTTTGATAAGGCCATGCTTTCCCATGCTTCCTGTTTTACTACAGTGATAGCCATGAACTGTAATGATAGGAACTGGAGGTTGAGTGGGTTTCTTTTTTTTTTTTCTTAGCTATTGGGGGAACCATCCCCCAATATTTCAACATAGGTTCTTTCTGTTTTCAGTAAGTGTCAGCCAGCTGAGAAATAAAGAGAGACAGTACAAAGAGAGGAATTTTACAGCTGGGCTGCTGGGGATGACATCACATATCAGTAGGACCATGATGCCCACCTGAGTCTCAGACCTGCAGGTTTTTATTAAGGGTTTCAAAAGGGGAAGGCTTGTAAGAACAGGGAGTAGGTACAAAGATCACATGCTTCAAAGGGAAAAAAACAGAACCACTAATAAGGGTTTAACAAAGATCACATGCTTCTTAGGGAACAGGACAAAGGTCAAAAGCAGAACCACTGATAACGGTCCAACAAAGACCACAGGGCAAAGGGCAAAAGCAGAATCACTGATAAGGGTCTATGTTCTGTGGTACACATATTGTCTTGATAAACATCTGAAATAACAAAAAACAGGTTTCAAGAGCAGGGAACTGGTCTGACCACAAATTTACCAGGGCAGAGTTTTTCCCCACCCTTGTAAGCCTGAGGGCTCTGCAGGAAACCAGGGTGTATCTTAGCCCTTATCTCAATTGCACAAGACAGACATTCCCAGGGCGGCCGTTTATAGATCTCCCCCCAGGAATGCATTCCTTTCCCAGGGTATTAATATTAATATTCCTTGCTAGGAAAATAATTTAGTGATATCTTTCCTACTTGCACATTCATTTATAGGCTCTCTGCAAGAAGAAAAATACGGCTCTTTTTGCCTGATCCCACAGGCAGTCAGACCTTATGGTTGTCTTTCCCCGTTCCATAAAAATCGCTGTTATTCTGTTCTTTTTCAAGGTGCGCTGATTTCATATTGTTCAAACACACATGTTTTACAGTCAATTTGTACAGTTAACACAATTATCACTGTGGTCCTGATGTGATGCACATTCTCAGCTTACGAAGATAACAGGATTAAGATATTAAAGTAAAGACAGGCATAAGAAATTATAAAAGTATTATTTGAGAACGGATAAATGTCCATATTAAGATGAATTCTTTACAATTTATATTCTTCTGCCACGGCTCCAGCCGGTCCCTCCATTTGGGGTCCCTGACTTCCCGCAACACTTAGTCAGTCAAGTAGAGGAAGGGAAGAATTCAGCATAACCAACGAGGATTTAAATGACCTGAAATGGATGCAGGTTCACCCGGAGGAGCTGTGCCACATGTAGAGATCAGGAACCACAAACAGAAAAGATAGAAAGGAGTCCTTCCCCTTTCTGGGCAGAGCAACTTCTCCATTCACTCCTCAGCCTTCAGGCAACACAGGAACGTGGCCCTGGTCAGAAACCTGCAGTTACATCTGTGTTTAGGTGCTGCCCACCAAGGGTCCTGAGTTGGAAAGGAAAAGAGAGACAGAGATTCCCCTGTATGGAGGAGAAAGTAAAAGGAGAAAAATGAATCCCAAACTTTGGGCTTACTGCCTGGCTGGCTCACCAAAATATGTTACCTGTGGAGGGTGTCCAGGTTCTTGGTGCTTTGAACAAAGAATTGGACAAAATGCACAAACAAAACTAGGACAAAATGAAGAAACAGAAGCAGAAATTTATTGAAAACCAAAGAACATTTTACAGGATGGGAGTGGCCTGAGCAAGCAGCTCAAGGACCCAATTACAGAATTTTCTGGGGTTTAAATATCCCCTAGAGGTTTCCCATTTGTTACTTGATATACACCCTACGTAAATGAAGAGGCTGCAGTGAAGTTTCAAAGTTATTTACTTGGTGTACACCCTATACAAACTAAGAGGATAAAGTGAGGTTATAAAGTTATATACTTGATGTAGACCCAATGCAAATGAAGCGGATGTTTCCTGCCATAGCTGAAGTAGAGCTACAAAGTTATTTACTTGGTCTTAGAAAGTTGGGGTTTTTCCATCTGATTTAGTTCTGGGAAGTCCTTAGGTTCCCTGTCTCCAGCCCCTATTCTCCTGCCTCAATAGGAGAGCTGCTTCAGGTCTTGGCAACCTTCACTCAGGATCCCTCTGTGGTTACCAGACGTCAATCAAAGACAATGACAGAGGCAACCCTCCATTATTTTAAGAAGTTTATTTGCCAAAGTTAAGTATGTATGCCTGGAACACTGGTGTATGCCTGTCTTCCAAGATGATTATGAGGGCTTCAAATTTAAAGGAGAAAGGGTGCAATATTTGAGAAACACAAAATTTTCATGTGAAAAGGTAGGATGGGAAAATAGTCATTTATATATTTGTCTGGCTCAGTGACTCTGCCTTTTGACATAAGATAACATAGACAATAGAACAGAGAAAACAATCAGATATGTGTTTGTCTTAGGTGGGTAGAGGGATGACTTTTAGTTCTGTCCTATGTCCTCCATACCTGTGAAGATAAGTTATCAATTTACATTGCCATGGTGAACTTTAACAGAAATGCTTTACAGTAAAGATCTTGGGGCTCACAAAAAAATTTCCTTGTGGGCAAAATGTGAAGGAAGTATGTAGCTTTTCATCTTTATATCCATCTCATCTAGGAACAAAAGTGGGAGGCATGTTTGCATGACCCAGTTCCCTGCTTGACGTTTTCCTTTGGCTTAGTGAGTTTGGGGCTTCAAAATTTATTTTCCTTTCACACTCCAAAGAAGTGCAAAGCAGCCTTCACAAGACTCAGAACCACTGATAAGATAGCTCAAAAAAGGGAAGTTTCACCAGCTGTAAGTGGATTACAACTCACATTTCCATCTGGTCATATTTTCTAGCACCTATGCTTCTCAGTGAGCACTCAAGTATGAAGGTCCAAACTCTCCATATGCCCCATAGATGAAAAAAGACAGGAAATCAAAAAGGATTAATGGAAGGGAAAATAATCAATAACAAATGAGTACCCCAAAAGGTCAAAAATTATACAAATGAGATTGGTTTTCTGACCAGAAATGGAATCTGGGTGTTGGCAATGAAAGTATGGAATTCTTGCCAAAAGATGGAGTTTTTTTTTGTTTTGTTTTTTGTTTTTTTTTTTTTTGGTGAGTGCTCTCACCTTTATTTCTCTCAATATACCCATGATACATATATTTCATACATAACAAGGTTAAGGACATGCACACATTCTAGGTAAAACAGAGGCAGAACCATGGTTAAAACATCTAGCCCAGCAATCAACTCATTATCCCTGAGAAGTGGGGATGGGGGAGGGGAGGAGCCACAGGTGGTTCATCAACACCTGGAAAATCCATGACTTCATTGAGAATGAATGACTCTAGGGGGATTCAGATAATGAAGTAATGAGAAGGAAGCTTCCCCCTCCCCACCCCCCCAGGGATCATGTTTATCAGTATCAACAGGCAGTTGTGGGTTGTTTTCTTCTATTTCTTCCAGCAGCTTATCAAGTTCATCATTAAAGTCATCTATTTTCAACCTGAGTGTCTTCAGGGTGCAATTTGGATGTGTTAAGGTTTCAAACAGCAAAGATTCCACTAGACTCCAAGGGATTCTGGCTCAGGTCCAGAGTGACGAGGCTCTGGTTGCAGCTGAGCACAGAGCAGAGGTCCTCACAGCTGAATGGAGGGATAGAACACCACCACAATCACAGACATCTCAAGTTACACAGTGGTTTCTTCAAAGCCTCACATAGGAGCTTCACTCCAGTAACTCCTATGTGATTCAGTCCCAGATCCAAGCACGTTAGGCTTGATTTTTCTTGGAGAACCACTGCGAGATAACAGCAGCTATTGCAGTTATATTGCAGTCCCACAGCACCAGGGTCTGTAGTTTACACTCGGGGTAACTCAAGCCCTTACACAGAAATGTCACCCCTGTATCCCCAAGCGGGGGTTCTTGGCCAAGAACAGGTGTGTCAGCTCCTGGCTGACAACCAAAACAGCAGCAAAGTTCTTGCAATTGGCTTCTGTAAAGTGACAGTTTTCCAACAACAGCCTCTGCAGGAAGCATTTTGGGTGTCTTAAAGTTGTGTACAGCAACTTGGCACCCTCATCCAAGAGCTCATTGTGGGAGAGGTTTACACATGTCAGGAACTGGTTGACTTCAAGGGCCAAGGAGAGTTCAGCCCATTGCTTAGTGGTGGCAGAACAAGACACCAACCGGAGATATTGCAGGTTACATTTTGAGTGTCTCAAGACCTCACACAATGCAGGAAGCACATCATTCTGGTCATTGCCTTGAAGGGCCAGATATGTTACAGTTTTGTGACCTCAAAGAGCTAGTAAGAGGTTCCGATAAGCATCAGCTGGGGAAATGTTTTTGAACACCACTCTCCAGAGACGACAGGTGTCAGATGCTATTTGTTCACACAGGATTCTTACTAGTGAGGCACTAAGAAAGCTATTATTGATTTCTACAACGATCAGATCCTTATTTGAGCCAAATATGGAACAAAGGTCGGTCCAGAAAGGAAGCATGTGTTGATCATCCTGGGATCTCTCAACTTCAGCATCTGATTCAGACACAGTGACATTCTCTGAGAGCTTTGCCTTTATTACCTGCAGTGGCATTTTCTGCAAGTTTCGACAATGCTTGAGGCAGAATGAAAACAGCATAATGTCTACTGCATTTAAGTGCAGGGATATTTCTTTGAATGGCGCCGTCAACCCCTTCACCAGCTCCTCCTCCTGAGACTCGTACAGATAGCACAACAGCTCCTTCAGGTTTGTCATTGTTGAGTGTTCATCCTTTTCACAATTTATGTCTCATCACAGTAATTCCTGTTTGATCTCCGGTGACATCAGGCAGCCAAAAGTGGTCTCCAAATCCTTGGCTCTCTTCTCGTTGGCGAAGCCGAATAAGAAGTGTCCTGCTTAGATTAGGTCGGGGTTCTTGAGTCTTTCTTCTCTGGAAAGCAACTTCTGCACGTCCCCAATGTCTCAGGCGTGGCCGTCCTTGTCCTCCTCCTCCTCCTTCTCCAGGATGCAGAACAGCGCAGTGAAAAACTGCTGGAAGCTGAGGTGGATGGAGGAGTAGCAGCCTTTAGAGACTCTGTCCTGGCGGAGGATGCCTCTGTCCAGGGACGGGCTGATGTCGGACTCCTGCATCCCGAGCCTTGCCAAGTCCTCTCCACGGAACACGGACATCTGCGCCCATTTGCCCTCAGCAGCCAGGAGGCTCAGCGCCCGCAGCGCGCCGCAGAGCTGTGTGCACTGAGGAACAGAGGCAAGGAAGTGCAGGAACAGCCCCGTGCGGGTGGGGAGAGTTGGGGGGGTGGTCTTCCCCTTCTACCTCTGCAGCTTCAGACTCGTGCACACGATCCAGCACACCGTGGGCACCGAGACAGGCTGGAACAGGACCGCGTTTCTTCTCGTCAGCTCAAAGGCATGCATGGCTTGGTCCTCGTCTCTAAAGTGTCTCAGGAAATATGCCCTCCTGTCCTCCTCCAGGAACCCCTCCACCCTTACCAGGAGCCGGAGGTCTCTCAGGGCCCCCAGGCCAGGTGGTGACCAGCAGGGCGGCCTTGGATAACATCTTCCTCTTCAGCGACTTCCCCAGGAAGACCGGCACCGGCTTCTGCTTCTCCCAGTCCCCGCAGATGTCCTGGATCAGCGCCCCAGGTGGGACTCCCAGCTCATCAAAGCCTTCGACCACGAACAGGATTTTCTGTGCTTGGGCTAGGATGTTTGGAATGTCATCCTGCAATTCAGGCCAGTCCCTGAAGACCAACTCTGCAAAACTGCATGGGCCCAGGCAGACGAGCTCCTTGCAGGTGAGGTAGAAAGCCTATCTGAATTTCTGGCTGAGGTTGTCCTTTGTCCAGTCCAGCATTAATTTCTTGGCCAGCGTGGTTTTCCCAAGGCCCGCAGGACCATGCAGCACACGTGTGTGGGCAGGGCGCAGGAAGCACCCTGGAGTTGCTGAACGGGATCAGCATCTTGTATCTCTGAGCCGCAATATGGACCACTTTGCTGTCTCCAGGCCAGGTTTTCCACATTTGCGGGAACTTTGTTTTCAATATACTTCTGTACCTATCCTCTTTACCTGGCTTTTCTCCTTTCAATGCTTGTTTAGCTTCTCTCAGGCTGGTGTCATCTTCCTTTGTTTCTAAAAACTCTAGTGCTTCTGCTTCGAAACGTTCTGGCATTTCTTTCAGGTCTACAGGTTTTGGCTCTTCTTTCCGTGTTTTCCCTAATGATGCAGGTTTGATTTCAAAGCGGCTTCTCTGAGTTCATCCTTTACTTTCTCAGACAGATCTGCTTGGTGCATTTTTTCAAAGACCTGGATGGTCTCCATCTCCATCCAGTAGCTGTGGCAATGGCTAGTGAGGATTTCTTCCAGTTGCTTCCCATCAGCCTTGTCTACCTATGTCTGGGGGAATCTTTTGTAACTCATTTCTCAGGGATACGGTCCTGATCAGAGACTTGAACTTGCTCAACTCATCCTGGCTGAGCTGTTCCAGAAGAGCCTGCAGGTTGAAGTCCAGCTGCGCAGAAGACACCGTCTCGTCCCACTTGGGAACTCTGATGAGAATTAAGGGAGGAATGGAAAGGGATGGTGCCTCAGCATTCCTGTCTCAACCCAGTCCCCTCTATGCCATAAACAAGGATACTCTCACCATCTACCCTGCTTCTTCAAGAACAAATTCCCAGCCTGGGTAACATAGTGAGACCTCTGTCTCCACAAAAAATAAGTTAGCAGGGGGTGTTGGTGTGCGCCCACAGTCCCAGTCACCCAAGAGGCTGAGATGGGAGGATCGCTTGAGCCTGGGAGGTTGAAGCTTCAGTGAGCCTTGATTGTGCCACTGCACTCCCATCTGGGCAACAGGGCAAGACTTATCTCATTTTATCCTTATTTACTTATTTATTTTTGAGACAGTTTCACTCTGCTGTCCAGACTGGAGTGCAGTGGTGTGATCTCTGCTCACTGTAACCTCCGCCTCCCAGGTCCAAGCAATTCTCCCGCCTCAGCCTCCTGAGCAGCTGGGACCACGGGCACCCGCCACCACGCCTGGCTAATTTTTGTATTTTTAGTAGAGATAGGGTTTCACCACGCTGGCCAGGCTGGTCTCAAATTCCTGACTTGAAGTGATCTACCTGCCTTGACATCCCAAAGTGCTAGGATTACAGGCATGTGCCACCATGCTCAGCCTTTATAATTAACAGATAACATAATTCCAACAAAAAATAAAGAATAGCTCAGCAAATACACATGGCAGTGACAATGGACAAAAAGTTAACACCTGACTCTACACAGATTGGGTTACAAATAATATAGGTTTTTATTGTTTGTTTGTTTGTTTTAATACAGAGTCTCACTCTGTCGCCCAGGCTGGAGTGCAGTAGCACAATCTCAGCTCACTGCAACCTCTGCCTCCCGGGTTCCAGCGATTTTCCTGCCTCAGCCTCCCCAGTAGCTGGGATTACAGGTGCACGCCACAATGCCTGGCTAACTTTTATGTTTTTAATAGAGATGGGGTTTCACCATATTGGCCAGGCTGATCTCAAACTCCTGACCTCAAGTGATCTGCCCTTTTGTTGTTGCTGCTGTTGTTGTTTTTAATCCTGCAGGACATCCAAAGCAGGTCTTTTGAGCATTTGACATATTTTAACTTGTTTCAGATCTTATTTCAAATGGAATGCGGCTTAGTTAATTCCCTGGATGTTAGCATTTCAAATACATTAAAAGATTTACATCTCCAAAGGAGTGCGGGGCATTTAAAGGGTATTGTCTGATAAACAGTCAATAAATCATCAATTCCATTCATTACCTCTGGTTTAGAAAATAATTTGTTGGATCTATATTTTTGTAATCTCAGTAGTGTTATTCTCATTCTATAGTTTTTTCATTTGTTTACTTTATTCAAAATTTAAATGCATTTTCTTCTCTCTAAAAGAAGAAAATGTGTGCATTGTGGAATTCCAAAGGGAAAAAAAAAATCTGCCTAAGATATATATGGGAGCCAAAGGAGCAAGCAGAAAGGAATGAGTTCAGATCACAAGGATAGAAGGAGAAGGAGCAGTTGAAGGCAATAAGAAAAAAGTCTTGAAAATATTTTTAAATACTTTTAAATATCCTTTTACTTATGCCTTGAATGTGATTTTTTTTCTCTCAAGATTCTTTTACAAGATTCTTTTAGAAGTAACTCTCCTATTCAAACTATCTTTTTCCAGTTGTGCAAGTAAATAAATTGTTAATCATTTCAAAAGATCATAATTCTGGTCATTGTTGCTTATGACGATTCTGGGTTAGGTGAGTCCACTCTTCTAGATATTTACAAGGAGTTGTCCCATAAGTGTCATACATAAATCTAGCTGGTGTTTCTAATGGTGGTTGTTTTGTAAAAGACTGCTTGAATTTTGAAGCTTGATTTTTTTTATAATCTAGGAGCTTTTCAAAAGTGGCCAAAGTCAGGAATATGTATGGGTAAAAAGTGTGCTGCTTATGAGTGTCACTCCTCTAGGTTTTACCCAAGTATCATAAATCACTTGCATATGTGTCTTGGACTGCCTCTAAGTGCCAAGTGACAGCAGAGTGCTCATATTATGGGGAGTTGTGGGTCAGTTCCTCATACCCATCTGGAGGAACAGAAGAGTCATCCCTTAAAAATGTTCTTCCAGTGGTAAGGTCCCTATGAGACTGTGTCACATCATGGGTAATGACTCAGACACGTCTGCAAAGTCTCCAGTCACTTGGAGCACTCAAATGGGTCAGAGTGAGCAAATCACCTCTTTTCTTTGGGAAAAGAGAACTCACCCTGTTTTCTTTGGGGCAAGAGAACTCACCATATTTCAATTAAGAACTAATAGGAATTAGTCACAAATAAAAAAACTAAGTCTAAATTTTTAAGCAATAGGAAATAGTTGCAATGTTAAAAGCATGCTGTGTGAAACAAAACCAACATTGCCTAAGTACCAATCCTTTGACCTCAGCCTCCTGCTGTGAGACAGAGGCAGAAAAAGGCAGTTCTCTGCAGATCTCCTTACCCAAATCTTTTGTTCAAAGACAAAGACAGAAGTTTTCACTCTTGAGGGTGGAAAAAAAGGAGTTGGAAAATATCCCAAATGAAGTCTAGACCTTCAATCACGGAGTGGGAGATCTAAATTCAGGAGCACTCACTTGAAACACTTAATGGGACTTCTGAAGATGGAGAGAATGCAATGTGTTTATGCTGATACTGAGCATCACTTTCAGAGAGAAACACTCGGTGGTCGGGAGAAGTTACTCTGAATCCTGCTCACAGGGCCAGAAATGTAAACCTAAAAGGAAGAGACTGAGGCCTAAAGTATTATTTAGAGTTTACTTAGGCCAAAGTAAGAAGAGCAGCCCAGAAGACTCAGACTCAAAGAAACTTAGGTATGAGTTACTTCTATATCTTCCTTGGGAAAATGTTTTTTAGATCCTATGTTCATTTTTTCACTGGGTTAACTTTATTGTTATTGAATTGTATGTGTTCCTTATATATTTTGGATATTCACTTCTTATCATACATATGCTTTAAAAATATATTATCCCAAATGTAGATTGTCTTTTTTATTTGTTGATTGTTTCTTTTTATGTGCAGAAGCCTTTTAGTTTAATGTAGTCCCACTTGTTAATTTTGCTTTTGTCTTCTTTGCTTTTGGGGTCGTACTAAAAAATATCATTGACCGATGTCCCAGGCTTCCCCCTGGATTTTGTCAGTTTTAGGTTTTATATTTAAGTCTTTGGTTCATTAGAGGTGATTTTACATATGGTATAAGATAATATTCTAATTCCATTATGTTGTTTGTGGAGATCCAGTTTTCCCAACAATTTGTGGAGTTTCTTTCCCCATTGTATATTCTTGGTACCCTTGTCAGAATTAGTGACCTGTATATGTGTCAGTTTATTTATGGTTTTTCTATTCTGTTTCATTTGTCTATTTCTTTGTTTTTGTGGTGGCACTTCACTTTCAGATTGCAGAAGCTTTGTTACTTATTATGAGACCAGGAAGTGTAATGCCTTCAAGAATTCTTCTTTTTCTCAAGAATTATTTGGCTACTCACGGTATTTTGAAGTTTTATACTAAATTTAGAATTGTGTCTTCTATTTCTGTGAAATAGTCTATTGGAATTTTTATAGGTATTGAATTCAATTTTTATAGGTATTACATTCAATTTGTATATAACTTTTTGTAGCATGGACATTTTAAGAATAATAATCTTTTTTGATTTATTTGCATCTCCTTCAATGTCTTTCATCAATGTTTATAGTTTTCAGTATAAAGGTCTTGTACCTCCTTGATGTAATTTGCTTCTAAGTATTTTTTTTTTATTTTTGAAAATGGGATTAAAAAATTTGTTTTGGATAGTTCACTCTTACTGAATACAAAAACAAATAATTTTTGTGTGCATTCTTCAGTTTCTATTACCCAGTAAATAATGTACAACATTCAACCAAAACATTACAAGGCATGCAAAAATGTAAGAACAATTAAAGTCTGAAGGAAAATGCAAACTTCAGAAATAGACTCTAAAAACTCTACAAATAAATATTATTTATATGGTAAAAGAAGATAAACAAAGGAGTCATAAAAATGTTCAATTAAACCAGTAAAGGAAAAAAAATGGGAGGGAAGAAAACAAGTGCAAAGAGTAGAAAATAGTAACAAACATAGTTAATATCAATCCAACTATAACAATAGTCTTTCTATATGTGAACGTTCAAAATACACAAATTAAAAGAATAAAATTGTCTTAGTGGATTAACAAAAACAAACTCAGCAATATGCAATCTATGAAAATTCCACATTAATATGAATATTTAGAGAGATTAAAAGTAAAGCAATAGAGAAATATGCATTATGCTAACACTATTTTTTAAAAAGCCAGAGTAGATATATTAATTTCAAACAAAGCAGATGTCACAATAAGGAAAAATATTGGGAATAAAAAGCAACACAACCTAGTGATAACATGATCAATTATCTGATAAGACATAATAATTCAACTATTTGTATCCTTTACAGAGGATCAAAAGATATGAGACTTTTTATTTATTTCTCTTACCTAATTGCTCTGGCTAGGATTTTCAGTACTATGTCAAAAAGTGGTGAGAGTGGACATCCTTGTCTTGTTTGTGATCTTAGAGAAAAAGCTTTCAACTTTTCACTGTTGAGATAGATGTTCAATATGGGTTTGTCATATATGGCCTTTATTGTGTTAAGGTAAATTTTTTCTATACGAAATTTGTTGAGGGTTTTTTTTTTTTTTAAATCATGAAAGGATACTGAACTTTCTCAAATGCTTTTTCTGTATCTATGGAGATGATCATAAAATGTTTGTCCTTCATTCTGTTAATGTGGTGTGTACCACATTTATTGATTTGCCTATGTTGAACTATCCCTGCATTCCAGAGGAAAAAATTCCTACTTGATCACGTTGCATAACCCTTTTAATGTGTTGTAGAATTTGGTGTGTGAATATTTTGTTGAGGATTTTTGCAACTATGTCTATCAGAGATATTATCCTATAATTTTATCTTCTTATAGCATCCTTGTCTGGCTTTAGTATCAGGGTAACTCTGGCCTCATAAACCAACTTTGGGAGGGTTCTTTCTACTTTAATTTTTTTGGAAGAGTTTGAGAAGAATTGATATTGGTTCTTCTTTAAATGTTTTATAGAATTTCCACCAAACAAATAAACAAACAAACAAAAAAGGCCAGGTGCGTGGCTCACGCCTGTAATCCCAGAACTTTGGGAGGCCAAGGCAGGTGGACCACTTGAGTTCAGGAGTTTGAGACCAGCCTGGCCAACATGGTGAAACCCCATCTCTGCAAAAAATACAAAAACTATCCGAGTGTGGTGGTGCATCCCAGCTACTCAGGAGGCTGAGGCAGGAGGATCTTATGAACCCTAGGAGATGGAAGTTGCAGTGAGCTGAGATCATGCCAGTGCACTCCAGCCTGCATGACAGAGTGAGACTCTATCTCAAAAAAAAAAAAAAAAAAGAAAGAAAGAAAGAAAGAAAACCCAAATAAATGTTTTATAGAATTCAGCCAGTCCTAGGCTTTTCTTTGATGAAACTAATTCAATTATTTTACTCAGTATTGATCTGTTTAGAGTTTCTATTTGTTCATGGTTTAGTCTTGGTAGGTTTTATGTTTTCAGAAATATATCAATTTTTTCTAGGTTATACAATTTATTGACACATAATTGCTTATAGTAGTTTCTTATGGTCATTTGTATTTCTGTGTTATCAGAAATAAAATTTACTGTAATAAAATATAAAGAAGCAAAATTGTCTCTATTTTCTGTCAACATGATCTTATACAAAGAATACCATAAAGACTCAACCAAAAAAAAAACCTGTTTGAATTGATAAGAGAATTGAGTAAAGTTGCACAGTACAAATTCAGCGTATAAACATCAGTGTCATTTCTATATAGTAATCATGAATCATCCAAAAAGGAAATTAAGAAAACAAACAAATTTACAATACTGACAAGAAATACATACCTAGGTGTAAATATACCAAGAGTATAAAAGACACATATACTGAAAACTATCAAATAAGGATGAAAGAAATTGAAGAAAATACAAGTAAATAAAAATATATCACATGTTAATGAATTGGAAGAATGAATATTGTTAAAGTGTCCATACTAACCAATTAACCTACAGATTCAATGCAATCAGTATCAAAGTTCTAATGTCACTTTTTCACAGAAAGAGCAAAAATAATTATTCTGTTTATATGGAACTCACCAAAGAGCCAGAGTAGCCAAAACAACCTTGAGCAAAGGGAGCAAAGATGAAGGTTTCACACTTCCTGATTTCAAGACATATTTTAAATCATTTGTATTCAAAAAACCATGATACTGGCATTAAAAACAAACACGCTGATCATAGAAAGAGAAGAGAGAGCCCAGGAACAAACCCACATATTTACAGTCAGTAAATTTTTAATGAAGCTGCCAATATCACACAATGGAGAAAATAGTGTCTTCAATAAATTGTGTTGGAAAAACTGGACGTCCACATGCAGAAGTATAAAACTGGAAACTTGTCTCGCATCATATACAAAAACCAACTCAAAATGGAGTAAATACTTAAATATAATATTTGAAATAGTAAAAAACTACTAGGAGAAAACAAAGAAAAAAAAACCCCATGATGTTGGTCTAGGTAATAGCTTTTTTGTATGACCCCAAAAGCATAGACAACAAAAGCAAAAATAGACACATAGAATTATGTCACTATACAAAGCTTCTGTACAGCAAAGGAAACAATGAACAAAGTGAAAAGACAACTCAGAGAATGAGAAAACATATTTGCAAACTATACATCCAACAATGAGTTAATATCCAAAATGCATACAAAAACTCTCAATAGCAAGAAAATAATTAACTAAATCATAGACAAAAGACTTGAATACATCTTTTTTAAAAGACATGCAAATGTCCAACAGACATATTAATAAATGCTCAGAATTACTAATTACTGGAGAAATGTAAACCAAAATGACAATGAGATATAACTAAATACTTGTTAGTGGTTGATATTGAGGGTGTTGAGAGAGTGCATGGGGAGTGACAATAATAGAGGGCTTTTGAACCAAGGGTACAAAGATTCAGATAAGTGGAAAAGTTTTGAGACGCATTACATATCATTATGACTATAATAAAAAATAATGTATTGTGTATTTTAAAATTACTAAGAGAGTACATTTCAAATGCCTCACCATAAAACAAAAATGATAGGTAAGTGAGGTGATTATGCTAATTAACTTGATTTTGTTATTCTATATTGTATACATATAACATCAC